TGATTGACGGCCAAAGTTTTTTCATCAATAACAATTTCACACAATATGATTAATAAATTAATTAATACATTGCAAATAGTTTCCAGTTATCAACCAATTAGGTAATAGCTGCTAAGATTGATTCCTTCCCCCAACGTGTCTAGCAACAAGGGTCCATTTTCGATTTATTACTCATTTATTCGTATAGTATGATCATTTTGCAACATTTAATAACTATATTAACAAAACTACAATTAAAGCTGTTTTATCAGCCATTTATTATAGCGGGTCTGGGGCTGATAAAGTCAAGAACACAACAGATGGCAAATACGCGGTTTGGAGTTACGAAACTGTGTAATACAGGCCATTATAAAATTTAATAAATTTTCGCTTGGTATTAATGTTGATAATATTTTGCAAACTATCATCGCACAATTACAAACGTATTTGTTAAATCAGCGACAATGGGTCATAATAGACAATCATCGACGTAATAAATTGATTTTGAGGGCACTCACTGTTTCAGAATCGATGCCAAAACCAGGTCATGATGTCCGTATAATTTAATATTGTAAAATGTATTTTCCACATAAATTATTAATGGATAAGATGTTGATATTTGCGTCAGCTGAACTCTGATCAATTGGCAAAAGGTTTTGCTCTTTTTCCATATACCAATGAAAATGAATTTGCAAAAACTTTTTTTTGAGAAAACTACCAACATATCCTGGTCGATGGTTCACTTTCTACAAAGGTCATTTAGTTATCTGTAGAATGATGTAAAAATGAACGTTCTTGTTTATTTTGCTTCGGAGCAAAAACGGGACAGAAAGCATGAAAGTTTGGCATAATCTTGCAACTAAGTGTCTGACATTCAAATTTCGCTTTCTGGGTCAAAACTGCTCGAATTTCCTCACTTATGTTGTTATGACTGAATCGAATTTCATTTCTCTATCTAACGATGCCAAAACGAATTCTGTGTCTCAAATGGTTCGGGACAAATTTCCAAAAAAGCAGCGTCATGTTTGAGTCGATTTTGCAACTCAAAAAAAAAGCACGCAAAACTGAAACTTCTTGAAATCAAGATTTTTTTGAGAAAACTGCCAACTCTTCTTGATTGATGGGTCAGTTTCTAAAAAGGCCATTTAGTTTTCTATCGAATGATGTATCAATGAGCGCTCTTGCTCATTTTCCTTCCGAGAAATGAGCAAAAACGGGGCGGAAAACATGAAATGTTGGCATAAACTTGCACCTGTCTAATATTCAAATATCGCTTTCTAGCTCAAAACTACTGGAATTGTCTTACTCCTGTTGGTATGAATTTTCATTCGCATTTCGCCAACAACGTGCATTTTAAGTCGGGTGTTTTTGTAAATAAAACTGTATCTTGTTCTTCTTTTTTCATAACTTCTGTTCAATGTTTGTTAACTTAACTAATTTGCCTTTCGTTCTGCTTGTTTCTGTCCCTCTTCGATTAACAACTGCATGAACAATCGATTACTAAAAAATTGGAAACCAAAATGCAACAAATCTCAATTTAAATAATCTTCAATGAAATCTCGGAAAAATATTGATCCAGTAACATTGACACAGCCACAAAAACGATCGGTGCCGTTCATAGTCGACTTCAATATCTTTCAGACCGTAACATTTCGTAACATTCTTGCTTTTGCTTTTGTTAATGCGTTGCTGCAACCGAATGCATAAGAAGTAATTCCTTAGATGCACCTGGGAGGGTCGGCTGAATTAATCCGTATATATTTGCTCAGATATGCTTAAATGTAAATTTCACTATAAAGATGCGACTTGCTTTACATTCAAATGTAAATTTCGGTGCATTAAAGTTGACGAGTCAAAGATTAGACACCGGAAGAGCGTGGCAGCCGCATCTGATATAATTGCGAGCTGAAGATCATGACTACAAAAACGTCAATGCACTCGGAGTTTACGCGGAATTTAACGCAAGATTACGAACAATGAGTAGAGCTCAAAGATAAATGGCGAATAAACTTAATTTCCGTTTCCTGTTTTTGGGAATAATCGTTTTTTTATACATGCATCGAGCGCCTGTAAAAATATATTTCTTGTTCGCCATTATAAATGTTTATAGCGAGTACCTGCTTCTTAAAAGCTTTTCTTATAGGAAAAAAATTAAACTTCTAATTCTCTATCGAGTGGAAGGAAAATGGGCTCAATTTTTCAAAAGGTTCTTGCGAAATGAGGAAAAAACCAGCGTGATGTTTGAGCCGATGGGTCAGTTTTAGATGCACATCTGATGAATTGTGAACTTTAAGAAAAAATCTACAATTTTCAAATATATTCATAAACACGTGTTGAATTTTTTGGACGCAAACATATAATTTTGTCACAAAAGCATTTTGTCCTAATTGAACGTAACTGGTTTAAAGAAGTTTTCCTCGACCTTTGTCCCAAATGCATTATACGCAATTGTTCTGCATCCATTAGCGCCGGTATTCAGTTAAATATGTTTGAAAAACAGCTTAAAAAATAAATTTGCATGCAAATCGCTTAAATTGTACCAATTAACAATAAAGCCCAGTTACATAATTTTTTTTCTATCATTCTGCAACGGAAACTTGAAATTAGGCCAAGACCATTTACACATTACCGCCACATTAGGCTTATTTCACTTAACATGAGACTATAGGTATGTATATGAGCAGTTTTCTTTGAAAGTAGTGTAGTTTTTGGCAGAAAAAATAATTAATGATAAAAATGAATACAATTTACTCTACACTTTTTATTTATAAACTTTTCCCAAAAACTCGGTAAAATTTATTAAATTACAAAAATTAAATACGCTATTTCAATGGGGGACCATTAATATTCCCTCTACTTATCGAAATACAATCTTTATCCGTAGATGTAGCAAATGTAATTTTTAAAACCCTGCATAAGAAACATTTTAAAAAAATGCATGGACATGTATAAATAAACACTTGTAAAACCCAGTGCTGCTATAAAATAATGATTTAGAATCCTTGTCTGCAAGCACGCAGAATTGCAACATAAAACGACGTTACGCACACAGAATATCCATAAATATCATAAAGCCCACTTAAGTAGGTAACACTCGACTAGGTCTAGTGTTAGAAAAAACTCTTAACTGACCAGTGACCGAGCACAGGTCAATAGGTTATTGCCGCCCTGGATTACAATGGCTACTTTAGTCCTTTCTTGGACGATTTTCTTTGGCATTGATTTAGTCTATGCGATTAAGTAAGTTCAATAAGCCGAACAGGTGTTCAATTAATTGCTCTTCGTATTGGGCACAACTATTTTTAACTACTACATATTTAAAATCTTCGATTGGAATAGGGAACATACCCTCTAAAATGACACAAATAGTGAGTTTATTTTTGTCAAAAAGCCCAAAATAGAGTTAATAGATCGTTGCCAATTCAAGCGGTAAGAAACACGAGTTTCAAAGAGGAAAAGCTGTATTATGAAGACAGCAAACGTTAACAAACCAGATGCATAAAATGATCCAATACTTGAGAAGAATATGCAGATTTTCTTGAAGTTCTTCACGGCCAGCATCTGGATTCCATTGTTAGTCTGTTTATTAGTGTATTGCATTGCATATTCTATTATGTATTTCAATAATTGGTAATCTTGTACAAAAAATGGTTTTTAATTTTAAGCTACCAAACAACAGCTTTGGAAAATTACACTTTACTGTGCAAAATACATCAATGTTCTTTTTGAAAAATCGACATTTTCCGACTGGATAGTGGAAGTGAAATTACCCGTAAGTTATCCTATGACTAGTCAGAAAACGTGACCATAGCAAAATTTCACTCATTTTTGTACATAACCGAGTAAAGAATGCGCCTTTGGCAACAGAGAAGTCCTGTATTAAGCATACGGCGTTTGGGAATATTTTACAAATTGGCGAATATATGAGCAAAAAAGCAGAACAACAAATGTGCGTAATGGAAAAGGAAAAAGCACGCACGAAGTGGGCGGAGTTTTATCGCTTGTTGATGTTGACTGCTTCTCGTCGCGTTTTAACACAAACATTCAGCGAACTTCTTTATTTCATTGATACAAACTTTCATGAATATACAGGGTGGCCCTATTAAGTGTCGCTACGTATGTAGATTTCTCATGAAAAACGACACACTTTTTTCTCTCCCATTTTTCTCTTTGCGCTTTGGTTTTCAAGATATAATGTGTTATTAATTTTTATTTTTCCGCCAAAATGTTAGGAACGGTTTGAACTACTTTTCAACACGCATTACCACTGTTGATAGCAAGTTTTTCACACCSTACTCAAATTGATTTTCGTGCCAATGGTAAAGATTTTAAGGTATCGTATTGATTTTTSGCCCTAACTTGTCCWCCAATGAAAAAACTAGCATTTCCACAGAAAATTCTGAAGCGCTAATCAATTTTACACAAAGAGTTCGTTTAGTTCATTGCTCTAAAGATAAGAGATTTCGATAARAAAAAATAGCTTTTTACGAWCARAAATAAASAATAACTTAAAATYTCCACCAATAGCACATTCAATGAATTCGAGTGTGACGCAAAAAAGTAGCTATTAGTAATTGTAAAATGTGTACAACAGATCAGTCCGGTAGTTCAAACAATTCCTTGTTTATTCGAAAAACAACTAAAAAAAATGAATTTTTGGCACCCTGCATCTCGAAAACACGAAGTTTAAAAAAATGTTTCTTTCTTCCTAAGGAATCTACAGTTATTCATAACGTGTATATGGCGCAACAAGTTTTTAATTGGAATAAATGCAACCTCTTCTTGATAAACAGCTTATAAAAAAAACGAAAGAATTCGTTGAGATTATAAAGCGTAGAATAATTAGGAAATGCTTCAAAGTGCCAACCTATCCAATATCAAAGCGATGAAAGAATTTCGTCGGCCTCAAAATTCTTCCGCAACCACTGAAATTTGCTTCGTAATAATACACAAACATCACTAGGAAACCTTAAGGAAGGCAATTCGGTAGTGCTGTTATCAAACAAATAAAACTAATTGAATACTGGAAAACAACTATTTTTATTTCGTATTTAGATACATTTTAAATGCACAATATTTTCATAAATAAGCAAATAAATTAAATTACAAAAGTATCTCTAACTTTTTTCAGAATAAGAATAAGCATTAATTCTTAAGCAATAAAAAGCCCAATACACGATTACGTTTATCAAAAAAAATCTATATTTTAACGTTGTTCTTGTTTTAAATTACTGCAAACCATGTGAAAACCAGCTGAAAATCTGCACTAGAACACCGTCTGACACGGGAGGTATTCACTAAATAAATGCTCAGTGCTTCTTATGAAGACAACTAATAAATTCGACTGAGTTAAAAAATTTAAAGCATACTTCTAGTTCACATTTTATGACTGGACAATATTCCTAAGTTCTTAAATTTTTAGGGGACAAAGAAAATGCGTTCTATATGAACATTTCGACGCCGATCCCTCACATGGAATATAAAGATTAACTAAAACGGTGTAATTAACTAAAAATGTACTGGTAGCAAATTAAAAACTTGAAATTGACGCCCAAAAATAAACATGTATACAAAAGACGAAGGCTTATAGTTTATCTTCTCCTTGTGCATAAGTATCCTTCAAATGAATCAATTTTTCCACGAGACCACTAACGGATATCTCACCATGCACAACATTATCCCTTGTGCGGACGTTCACAGTATTACTCGACTTCTCCTTATCACCAACCACTGCATCATATCACCAATCAGATGTCAATCGATTTCAATTGTAAAAATCACTTACCTAGAATGAAATTAAACTGGGCCAGCTGAGCGTTTCTGATTTTCTTGTTCAAAGTATCACCATGATCCAAGTCCACTTCGGCCATAAAACCACTTTCATACAGTTTTTGTCTCACTTCTTCCGCATAGTCGTCGTAGTTGGGTCCAACTGGGACTACCATCACCTTAGAAAAAATCGATATAGTCCTGCTTTGTCTAGAATGTTGTATTCAATAACTTACCTGCCTGGGGGAAAGCCAGAACGGCCATTTGCCTCCATAAGATTCAGTTAAAATCGCGATCATACGTTCGACTGATCCCAAAATAGCTCGGTGAATAATGACAGGATGTTTCTTCTCGCCACTCTCACTGGCAGTTTGCAAAACAATTCAATTTTAATTGTGAAACTAGGAAAGCTTCAAAAGGAACCTACCTAATAAAGGACAGATTAAATCGGATGGGAAGCTGGAAATCTAGTTGAATAGTAGCGCATTGGTGCGACCGATGCAAAGCATCTTTGATGGTGATATCGATTTTTGGGCCGTAGAAGGCTCCATCGCCGGGATTCTCCTTCCAAACTTGTCCACAATCATTCAGCGACTCACTCAGAGCTTTCTCTGCTTCATTCCACATTTCGATATCGCCCAGGAACTTTTCTGGGCGAGTACTCAACACCAAGTCGAATGTGAAGCCAAATATGGAATAGACATGCTTGAGAAACTCTAAGCACCCTTGCACTTCAGTCTTAATTTGCTCCGGAGTGCAGAAAATGTGGGCGTCGTCTTGTTGGAATCTAGCCAATGGTAACTTCTATAACTTCCCGCCAATTTTAGAAATAATGACTTAAAGCGATGCAATACAAGTAGGATACTTTATCAATCATTAACGCACATATAATCTACCCAGAAAACGAGTTAAATTATGTGTAACGCAGTGAATCTGCAGGAGATACTGAATTGTTGATACTTCGATATTTTCAACAGTTTCGAGATTTTTCCGAGAACAAGCTTCGAAAATTCGAGGGCCTCTTGCAAATACACTTTTTGCTTTTATGTGCAGATAATAGAATTTTCTGATAAAACCAAATAATATAAAGCAGATTCTCGGGGCGTTCTATGAAAAAGGTTGTGTTATTATTTAAATTTGTAACGCCTTCCGAGATATAAATTAAAATGTCCATGTATGTATTTATTACATTTCGTCTCTATCTCTTTGAAGATTGGGAATTCATCTACTATCTCTATCAGCTAAAGCCTTAATGAGAAAAGATCGTTCCTGAAATGCCTTATCCAAATGGTTCTTATGACTTTTTAGTTAGATAATACTTTAATATATAACATATTTTTAGCTGTTTTCAACCTATTATTAGAAATAAACGAATATTGTCCTTGTTAACGAGGTTGCTTATTGACTGCAAATTGACTCAAAACAAGCAATCTCGCAATATTAAAAATCAAATTTATCAAAAATATTGCAAAAACAGTTTGAAATATGTTAATATGAAATTAAGCTAAATATGAATTTACTAGTACAACAATTTCGCCTAAAACCGTGCCTCCTCGAAAATGAATTACCTCTCCAATAATTCCGCTTCTTGCCAAAAAAAATAACAGTCAAAACTTAATCATGTTGATTCGACGATAAATAAGTTTAATAATTCAAATGCTTGCAAATAGCCACGAATTATTCACATACCTGCGTACTCTTGTCAGTCCAGTCAAAGCCCCCGAAAGTTCATTTCTATGCAAAACCCCAAAGTCTGCAAGTCGCAAAGGCAGTTCCCTCCAAGACCTGTTTCTATTGTCGAAGATCAAGCAATGACCTGGACAATTCATAGGTTTTAACGCGAACTTTTCTTTTTCCACATCAAACGAGAACATGTTATCGGCATAGTGAGCCCAATGTCCAGAGGTTTGCCACAATTTGGAATTGAAGACATTCGGAGTGACCACTTCTTGAAAGCCACGTTTTCTATATTCCTTCTTTATCAGATCGATTAGGGTGTTGTAAATATGAGCACCCCTGGGCTGGAAAAAGCAGGAACCGGGAGAGAGCTCATGGAAAAAGAATAACTCTTGCTCCTACAATAAAAGGCGAAAATTAGTTATAGTTTAAAATAGACAAAAATAGTTATGCGGACCTTTCCTATTCTCCTATGGTCTCTTTTCGCGGCTTCTTCCTGGAACTTCTCCCATTCCTTCAGTTGCTTATTATCGGGAAAACTAATACCATATACCCTCTGTAAGGTTTCTGCGTCTGCTTTTCCTTCCCAGTAGGTTGAGGAATTCTAAGAATCCACAACCAACTTTTATCACAAACATCCGCTCTAATTTGATTTTTAAAAAAGTTTACCTTAGTAACCTTCAAAGCTTTAATTTTTCCAGTATGCCTCACATGTGGTCCCCTGCAAAGATCGATTAGAGGGCCACATCTATAAACAGTGGTGGTGGGTGTATCAACTTTTTCATTCAAAATTCTCACTTTGAATGGGTTGTACTTAAACATTTCCAAAAGGTCCTCTTTTCTCATCTCTAGACGTTCAAATGGTTGCTTTTCTTTAGCGATATTCTTCATCAGGCTTTCCACGTAGGGAAAGTCAGACTGCGAAATCTAAAAAAAGAAAACAGGAGCATGTTAATGTCATAAATTATACATAGAATAATACTACTGACCCCCTTTTCATCCAGCCACATATCGTAATAAAAGCCACTCTCTATCGGAGGCCCATAACACAAACAGCCTCCATAGATTCTCTCTAAAGCTTCGCCTAAAACATGAGCAGTGGAATGCCAGAATACAGCTTGGGCTTCAGTGTCGTCAAACTTAAGTAGCTCAACTTTACAGTCGCTTTCCAAGGGCCTATCCAGGTCCCAAAGAACTCCATTTACTTTGGAGATGACGGAATTATCAGCCAGTCCTTGGCTAAAAAGATTGTTTTTTTAGTTCAGCTTTTTAAGTTATGAAAAGAAAAAGTAATGTCGGCTTTTTACCTGATGCCTTTAGCAACGTCATATACAGTAGTTTTCCAAGCAGTGGCTTCGACAACTTTACCATCAGGCAAAGTTACTTTAATTGGCGCAGGAGTTTTGGCAGCTAAATCCGCTTCGTACTGAGCCTTTAGCTTGTCCCAAAGTTGAAGCCTCTCCTGGATAAATGAGGGTGGTGGTTTCAGCTCACTAACCCCTGACTTATCCCCGGAAGCAACATTTTGCTTAACTTTTTCCTTCTTCATCTTGCCAGCCTAATGAATGAAACAATATCTTCAATTGCGTATAAAAGGGGTCGCACAATAGACTAGAAACACTTATTCATCATTTTTTATGAAAACTGCAACCTTGATAAATATATTTGATAACTTAAAAAAGATGTACTTTATGCGAATATAAGGTGGAACGTAACGTTTAATACAATTTCATCACATCGTATTTCCAGGTAAATTATCGGATTAGTCGTAAAATACCGGGTGATTATAATATGATGGTCAATACGCTACAAGTACTACTACACACCAATGTGGCAAAACTACGCCGGTTTATCGGCAGTACAGCTCTGGAATAACTTAGAACCTTCAACATTTCAATGTAAAAAGTAAAAATAAGGGTTCATGCCTTTTGGGGTTGGTTCATTTGGAGGTTTTTCACACTATCAATGATTTTTTCTTCACTCATCTCGTAAACTGTAACGTAAAACAAATGAGCAAGTAACAACTGACAGTGACACTTACCATTTTGAGGTTAACTTTTAGTGTTTAGTATGTGTAATCCACAGACTACCACAAACACAAGTCACATAGGTTACTTGTGAACCTAATCTTATTTATTTTATAACCCATAGATAAGACGAGTTATAGTTATAACCTCACTTCATGACTTGACTCCGCGTTTGAAACCGAGTTTTTAGTACAATTTTTCATGGGATTCTTTAAATATTTAAATAATGTTTAAACGAGTTGTTTTAGGCATCTCAGGTGGAGTGGATAGTGCTGTTGCCGCTTTAATGCTAAAGCGTAAAGGTGAGTGGTCAAACTTACGAAGGTAAAATATATTAAAAGATCTTCTCTGATCAGGCTTTGATGTCCAAGGGGTTTTTATGAGAAACTGGGACATAGCAGATGAAACAGGTACTTGCAGGGCAGATGAAGACTTTAAGGATGCAAATTATGTATGTAATCAGTTAAATATTAAGCTTCATCATGTTAATTTTGTTAAAGAATACTGGAATGAAGTCTTCAGGTAAGTCACTTCGAACCGCATTAAGCAGTTCTGCGCTTGATTTTCTTTCAATTTGAATCATTTTTTTCTTTAGCAACTTAGTGAAAGACTATGAAACTGGGTTGACCCCAAACCCAGATATTTTATGCAATAGACATGTTAAATTTAAGTATTTTTACAACTATGCAATGGATCAGCTAAATGCAGACGCCATTGCTACTGGGCATTATGCTAAAACTAGTTTTGGGCCCTATCTAGATCAGTTTAAGACTAACGAATGTAAGTTTTTCCCAAAAAGCGTGGGTTTTAGAAGAATTAAACTCTATTTAAGCGGTCAGATTATTAATGGCAGAAGACCCGGTTAAAGACCAAACATTCTTTCTGTGTCAAATTGAACAGGAAGCTTTAAGAAGAACAATGTTCCCATTGGGGGGCCTCGCCAAGTGGGAGGTCAAGCAATTGGCAGTAGAAAACAGCTTGGAAAAGTTTGCAATCAAACGGGAAAGTATGGGGATTTGCTTTATTGGGTCCAGGAATTTTCAAGACTTTATTAAGGAGGTGGGTTGGAGGCATCCATTGCATTGATCTTCATTACGACAAGTGTTTTGCAAAAAAACTAATTTTG